TTAACTCGCACACGCGCACGTAAAAGGAGTAGTACGTAGTTTATAAAATAAATAGCTAAAATTAGCGTGATATATAAAGTGAATAAAAAGTTTTAGTTGGCCTCAACGTAGTAACTTAATAGTAAAAGCTTTATGTAAACCATGTTCTTTAGTCGAAATAAACGCGAGCACGACACTTTCGCATCGTTGGACGATTTCAAACCCGTTAAAGAGGAAAACATTTAAGATCCAAGAAAGCTTCGTTCTCTCTCGGGGGATTTGATATTTTCAATATTTTCGAGCTACCTCCTTCGTTCAAACCTTCCTTACACCTACGTGTTTCCCAGCGATAAATCTCAAAAGGTATGTGACACACCGCCATTACGTGCATCAGATATTCTAATTAGTTCGGAGTATTCTCGTTATCCACGATTTTTCTGCAAACGATTAGCTTAACCCCAATCTCGCTATAACAAAGTCCACGATATATCTGATTTACCTCTAGCCGTTTTTTCTTTTTCCTTTTCCCTTTCTATGCTCCTTTTTCTTCCATTTACTTATTTTCATTTTTTCTTTTTTTCTTTCTTTCCCCAACGTTATACATCGAATAATTTTGCGGACGTCCATTAGTGTAATTATAGATGTAACGACGAAAAGAAGGAAATTTATATCTACATCGTGCTCGTATCAAAAGTTGGCGCGTTAAGAAGAAAAGCGAAATGTTTCCCCATCGCTTCGGAAAATTTCATCGATGTTAAGAGGTAAACGGTCTTAATATTTGATGCTTTTCCGTTGGATTTCAGTTGGCCAACTTTCAGGCTCGTTTATTCAAAACTTTCTTCCCGCGAGTTTTACTCTCCCCGTACAGCTTGAAACATCTCCTTGGAAGATTCGTGGTATCGACACGAGTTCACAGGGCATCGAGTTCGGCCCCGTTCGAAATCATACAAAGTGAAACATAAAAAGAAATTGCAATTATTGAACGCGAGTTAACTATAAGTAATTTGATTTTCTTCTACGATCCATATCCCATTGTTATTTAAGCGTACTTACTTTCATCTTACACGATTAATATTTTTAAGTAATTTTCTTTGAAACAAAAATTTCTAACATTTCATTTCGCAATTTCCACTTATTTTCTCAAAAAGAATCAACAGCTATTCGGTTGTATCACGATTATCGGGGAACCTTGTATAGAGAGATAGAAGCGTAGAATCGAGATTGAAGGAACCAGAGCGAGAGAGAGAGAGAGAGAGAGAAGGAAGATTGTCTAGTAGTAAGGACGTAATCGTGTTAGACGATCGACGTTCGCGCAGCAAGAGAAGTGTATCGCTGGAAGAGACAACGACAGCATCCAACAAAGGTCCTCCATTGCAACGAAAAGCAGATCAAAGGAGCACATAGCTCGAGGAAATGTGATTCTGTTCGCGGCAACCAAACTAATTTCATTCTCGAATTCGAAGAGCTTTGTCGATTGTCGCACGATGCTTCGCTGGTCCAAGTCGAGTCAACGAGCTTTTCGACGGCCTCAGGATCAATCCCAAGGGCAAGTCTTTTTCTTTCTTCCTTCCTTCCTTCCTTCCTTCCTTCCTTCCTTCCTTCCTTCCTTCTTTCCTTTCCACGTCCCTTCGCAGGAGGTGTGGAGTGAGAGGAACGAGATTAAAATCGAGTAAAAGCAACGTATCTGCAGCAGGAGTGTACGCGGGAGTGCTCGTGCATCTAATGAATTCTACCGTTTCTATTTTTTTCTCTTTCTCTACTGTTCGGCTCACATAGGTTACAACGAAACGAATTTTGATCTTGCAAATTTTTCACGTTCAATGAAAAACAAGAACGTTAATAAACTTCGCGATGAAACTTATTCTTTACCCTACGAATCTCCGTCTATCGTACTCTTGTGCGCGCGTGCGAGTGACGTTTCTTCGTAAGAAGATATTTCTTTTTTCTTTTTTCTTTCTACGTAACGCTGCTTCCATCGACGATCTCCCGTCTACCGTGTGTTCGTATGTGTATGAGAGTGTGTGTGTGTGTGTGTTTTTGTGATATCGAAAGTTAAAAAACACGGGCACTAATGTGTGATTGCACGGGCAAAAGACAATATCAAGGGGGTTAGGGCTCAAGGGCGGGCGAGAGGGGGTGGTGGTGGTGGTGGTGGTGATGGTGGTGTTTGGCGAAGGTGGATATCGTCGAAACGATTCGGAAATGATATATAAATCAATTGATTTCAGCAATTTATGGACTAAGACCTAGGGTAGTACCATTTTCACTTCGGATAGCGAGCTGATGCTCAAGACGTACATGGTGACGCCCACCTCGACGGGAGGACCTGAAAGCGAAGGTTAGTCAGACTGAGTCGGCCGTCAATGGGCCGTTAGCGGTCTGTTTTATATACACTGGTGCTGTGATTTTATATTTTGGATATATGTATATATGTATATATATATATATATATATATATGTGTATATATGTATATATATATATATACATATATATATATATGTATATACATATATGGGATGGCACGGGATTTCATTAATGGCGTGTGCTTTCGTGTGTCTCTGTGTGTATTCGTTTCTTTCGCTACGTCGGATGGTATCGCTGAAAGTGATAATTGCTCATAGATTAGATCGTCGACCGATGCGAGATAAAGATAAATATATATATATATATATATAGGTATGTATACGTATATGATTTCTCGCGCGACAAGTGCGCATACGCTCGAACTCGGGTCTTATCACGTCTTCAAATGCGGACTCTGTAAAACCTGTCGGTCGATTACTATTTTCTCTCAACCGTGTTATCGCTGAGACTCGTGTTCGTCGATAGGCAACGGAGGCTTACTAAGGTTAATGCCGCGAAGTGTGATTAAAACGCAGCCATGCGATTACCGGTTTCCACCGGTCAATCTTTTTTTTTTATCTTTTTGTTCTCATTTTTTTTCTCTTTCCTTTTTCTACAAGTTCGCTCGGTAATACCAGCTAACTCGCAAAAGCTGGGCCATAGTTTGGCTTGAAAGTAAAAGGGCGATTAGGCGCTCGAATCGTTCAGGCAAAAGCCTCACTTGATTTTTCATTCGTTCTCGCCATCATCCCGCGACGGCAGAGGATTTATCGTGTTCCCATGCCGGAACGTTGTCTCCCCGCCAGCCCGTAAGACTTTGATCGATACCGAAGTTATTTTCGGTGCTGAAACGTCGACGAAGCGTCGATTCGATCGCAAATCCTCACCTTGCATCGGACCCGCATCTCTTTTTTCCCCTATTTACGGACGATTTACAGCGATTTAGGAGAACTCTTTCGTCTCGTTCGAGCGTGCGATGATTGGCCGAGAATTTAAATATGTTCTACCTTCCTTTTTCTTTTTTTTTTCTCTTGATTTCATACTTTTCGCTTCGTCGTAGGATTCAAACGTATCTACTTAGATTTCCGAAAGAAGAATTTGCAAGGAATGATGTGGCGATCGTGGTATTAAAAGATTAAAGATTTTTATCAAGGATGGCAACAAGAAGAATCGTAGAGTTCTCAGATTATGGTTCGATATTGAAGTGTTAAAATTGTCTTTTCGACAAAAGAAATGTCACTGGAGCAAATTTCGTTTCGTCATTTCGACTTTCTTTCTCTCTCTCTCTCTCTCTCTCTCTATCTCATTCTCTAGAGGAATAACCTTCTATCCAATTAGGATTATAATTTTCCAGCCCAGCTATTTTCTCATTTTTCCATTTTTAACGAAGCTAGGGACTTAGAACGTCATACTGTCCAGCAAGGTTACAAATGGTAAGGCAGGACAGGACAGAGATGTAGGATGCAGCCAGTAGGATTCAACGGATGGGGTGGAATTTTCGCGAGAGTTGACTCGTAAACAACGTCCCTGCCAACGGCATCGGTCGGTACTCGACCGATATATATCTTCATTTCCATTTCTAGGATGTTTTTAAAGCCCTATTCCCGAAGAACGTCCCGTATGGGCTGCATAAATCGCAATGACACATCCATAGCCTGCTACCGTTCGCGAATCTCGTGAGAAACGTTAATTGAAACGTAGCTAGTATCGTTTTCTCGTTCGTAAGGACAAAGAGAAAAGAGATAAAGAAAGAAAAAGTGGAAACGAAAACGAGGAGTGAACGAGTCAACGTCGGGCGACCTGCCAAAAACGTTCACCATGTTCAAAAGTGGACATTTTCTTTTTTTTTTTCTTTTTTCTTTTTTCTTTTTTCTTCTTTTATTCGGACTCGGCGAATACACCTTTGACTACACCTGTTTGCGACGAATCATCCTTCTTCGGGCTTCTGTCGAACGAACAACGAAAAATCATTGTTTCATTCTTTCCTTCCTACGACGTGATAATAATATACCAAGATGAAAAAGTTTGTTTAAATATTTTAAAGCGCATATAAGCTTCGGGTTCTTTTCCACTCTCTCTCTCTCTCTCTCTCTCTCTCTCTTTGCTTTTTATTTTTTTGCGGTGTAGATTAAAAGATACGAGCGAGCCTGGATTTATCATACACTCCGTTTCTTTATTTAAACGCGCAAGAAGTTTCTCATTTTATAAAGACGAACGTCGATTATCGCGATAATTTACTTTTCAGGACATAATAAAACCGCAGGATTTCGTGGCAAGTTTTACATGATTTGAGATAAGCGCAGACTCGTTAATTAGTAAAAGTAAGACGATTTAAATTTCGTTTTCCCTTATCGTAGAAAAGTAAAAAGAAGTCAGCAGTGGTATGGAGAACGTCGGGCGTCGTCTATCTCGTATTAGTTCTTCGCGGCACGTATTCCATCATTTGAAGCTCCCATTTGATCCTTCGAAGAATATCGGAACGAAAGAATATAGTTCGAGTAAAGCGCAAACTTACGAAACTCTTTTTATTTATCCGACGGATGTGGGATATTATCATGGCTTTCGCCGTGGCACGGTGAATGAACGATCCAACGGTGATTTAAATTTTTAATGTCGGACCATCAAATTCCATGAATCCGATATGAATCTTTTTTCTTCTAGAGCAGGAGTGCCTCGGGAGGAATATCGAAGATTCGACGTGGCTTTTCACGGAGATGGTCGGTATAAATAAATTTTTAGCTAAGAGTTTATCGTGCGGATCTTTTTTTTTTTGTCGTTCGCATTATCAAGAGAATCCAAATAACAGCGGATTAACGCATAATCAATTTGGATCGTAAGGTAAATAGAAAATAAAGCAGAGATCGAAGGGAGACGTTAGAATTTGTGTCGGGCTACGGGCCAGGAGCGTGAACCAAGAGGAAGAAGCTCGAAGCCGAATCTGGAAACGTCCCAGAGCACGATTGGCCACGACGACCGCCGAAAAGAACGCGCTCGGCATCGAAATCGTAATCGTAGATGAGAAACGAGGGAGTTGGGGGAGTGGAAGAGGAGAGATGCCCGTTAACGGTAACCACTGGCAACCCGAGGAGCGTCTCAGCATCGATCCGAGTTTTATCGAAGCACTCTCTACCCCTATCTCCCCCTGTTTTACTCTTTGCCCCGCCCTGCGAGTTCGCGTTCACAAAATTTGACTTTACCGCGGGAATTTACTCGTTCCTACGGCTTCGACTGTTCGACTTTCAAACTATCCAACGAACCTCTCGATAGGAGAATGATTTCAAAAGAAACTCGCGGTAAGAGCAAAGAGAAAGATTCATTAAAATTTCCCCTTTAATCCTTTAATACCGAGGTACATTCGCTTAGAGATTACTGTCATTTCAATTTATTTCCACATACTACTTTACTATTTGCGATTGCAAACTTTCCTCCCAAATCTTTAATCATATTTCTTAATTTATCAGACAGAGAATGTTTCAGAGCTCTCCTATCGATTTATCTCGAGTATTAACGGTCGAGGTAAAATCATGCAAAGAGCCGGTGCTACGAAGAAGCTTCTCCTCGTATTTCGATTAATTCTTAAATTCGTGCAAAGTTTTAAGTCGAGAGTCAAAAGAAGAGAGAGAGAGAGAGAGAGAGAGAGAGAGAAGAGAAACAATCAAATTGTTTTCTTCTTGGACGCCTTGAGTGCAAAAGAAAGATGCTCCTCTTTTTCTTCTTTCCCCCTCCCTCCCCGACATCCCTGAAACGACACTGTCAAGGCACAGTCTTGATTTCTTCCCCTTTCTTACCCTACACGATCTCCCTTTACTGCCACTTCGAAGAACTCACTCGAGATACGAAAGCGAGCAATATCCAGTGAAGTTTTCGCGTTTAAGAGATTACGCGTTCTCTGGTAACTCAAGAAAATGTCGCTTTATCGCAAGATCCATGATCCGTCCATACGTACAATCCTCGTCAGTTGAAAATTAAATTAGACGATTCATTTAATCGATTCTTGAAAATAATACAATCGAAAAACTGTTATGCATCCTTCGTTAAACGTGAAAACAAAAGTTGATCAGAAAAAAATTTTTCATATATATATATATATATATATATATATATATATATATATATCAGTCTTATTTCGAACGAAGCACTCATATAGATAGACGTTCGCGACTCGATTATTCATCGAATTCCCTCATGCGCTTCGCTTATCTCCTAACGAGAGATAATTTTATGCGATATATTATCAGCCAGCGTAATCATCCTCTTTTATTTGAAAAGAGTCAATACTTGCTTGAGTCTTGATCTTTCGAGATCCATTTTCTCTTTTTTCTCCGTTGCTCGTAAAAACTGCACACGCGGGATGAGGCCCGCAGAGAAACTAGCAAATTACTCCTTTTTCGTTTGCAGGCCGAGTACGACACGCGAGTTTCTATTCCGACGTTCGTCCCGGTACCACTGTCGAGGTTTTTTTTTATCGAACCGAGTATACGCCCACGAGCTTGCTCCCTATTGTTCCGAATATTCTTTTCTGTATCGTTCATGACGAAAGAGTAAGCGGCGTCAAAAATATTTCTCGGGGCATTCTTTCTCGTTTCTCTCTTCTCTCTTCTTCTCTCTCTCGCTCACTCATTTACCCTTTTACTCCCTTTTGCTCGTGCCTATATCTATATTTAATCCAATCCATTCCTCCCTTCCAGGTTTACATTTTTATCGATATTTATATGAACGATTATTTTTAGATTCTGCTTTCAGTTCCGATAAGTACGTACGTACAAATTTATTCGACGTTTTGCTGCCCTTATTCTTTTTTCTCTCTTCTTTCGAATTCACTTATCGCGAAATCGAATCTCAGCGATCTTTTCCCTCGAGTTCGAGCGCACAAACGAAATACATTTAGCGAATTTTTAGCGATCGAAATACGCGCAGTAACGTCTCGGATATCATCGAATATTCATCGAAAAATCTTTAGGGGTATCTCTTTATTGTATTAAACGATCTTATCATGTTGCACGTGTCACTGTTACGACGATATCTTCGGATCTCCCAATCGTCGGGTCATCGAAACTTTAAGAAAAATATAATCGGCGCAACGACTTTAAAGACTATGTATCACGAAGAAGCGAACAAGCGTGGCACGAATAGTAAGCGTGGAATTTAATTAGAGAGAGAGAGAGAGAGAGAGAGAGAGAGAGAGAGAGAGAGAGGGAAAGAGACGGGGAGATACGAGGGGGAATTTTAAAACATCAAAACCAACGAGCAAGGATACTCTCCCTCACTCTCTCATTTCTCATTTTTTTTCTGTCTCTCAAATTTCATTGGAATCGATATTAATAATTTTGCGATCGCAACCATATTACGATTCTTGCCACGCCTCGGTGATCCAAAGTGTCGATAATGATTTTGATCTCGAATTATCGATTCTTTTGTTTTAAACAGGAGAGTCAATCGATCGTTCTTACTCACCTCCGTAGTTCGGCCTTACTCTTTTATCGTAACTGACGGAAAAGGAGTCCAGTATCGCTGAGATGTTGACGTCCCCCAGCATACTACCGCCGCCGGTTCTGCAAAAATATAAAAATAAAAAAGAGATACATTTATTTGTATTACAATAGAAATGCAGTAGCTCGCGTTTCTCTCATCCGGTATCCGCTGCTCGATTTCAATTTCCTGATGAAAATACGTGAAATATAGAGAAACGAGATAAGGTTTCCGTTAGATAAATTTCTCATTATAAACCCTCTAAATCACAGACGCGTATACTTACGATATCCTTTTTGCATGTGGATCACGTATATGGATGTACGTACGCGTACAAGATAATATATTCAATAACGAGGTATCGTTAATTAGACACGAACTGTAGAACAATCGTAGTAAAAAGAAAATGCATGAAGAAGAAGAGAAGGAGCGTTGAAAAGCGTATACACGTTGAATACATTAGTCTCGTCTGAATAGAAACAGTAGATAGTAGACCTTTTGATCAGACTCCTGTGTGACGAGTTGGTCTACTAATCAAGTCGTCGTTATCCCTGACGTTTCTCCTTTCGAGCGTGCAAGTAGAAGAGGACGACCTTTGGTCGGACGCGGTAAAGTGTATAGGCAACTAATTAACGTTACCTAACTTTCTTCTTTCTTTTTCGCTCTTTTCTCTTTTCTTTTCTCGTTCTTTGTTTTTTTTTTCTTTTTTTTTTTCTTTTTTTTTTCAGAACGGTCGCTCGGCCAAAATCGTCCCGTCGTCTGCATGCTCGAAAAGGTTAAACGAGTATGGTCAAATAAGTATCAAGCTCTAGGAGGAGAGTGAACTTTTCCAACGTATAGTCGATTCTCCCTTTTTTTTCCGTGGAAAAACGTTCGTTAAATGCAGAAGGCAGATTACTATTTTTAGAAGAGACGTTCGGTTCGTTCGACAATGTCCAACCAATAGCAATGGCTTTGACCGTACTTACGAAACGATTTATCGAACGATCGGTCGCGAAACGCGTTCAACTAAATCTCACAGAACGATATCTACGAAGAACTAACTGACAGGCAGCGATAATAGGTCAGAGGTTAGGCGTATCGATTAGAGCCGCACGGATATTTTGTACCACCCTCGAAATGGGCTAGTTGTAATAGTACGAAAAGGAAAAGCATAACCATGAGATTGGACTTTGTTTTTGTACGTAGGAAAAATTCCGCGGACGCTCTCTCTCTCTCTCTCTCTCTCTCTCTCTCTCTCTCTCTCTTTGTTGTTGATCGGGGAAGCGCGAAAGGGCAGTTACCATGGTTCCTCGCGAATGACATTTTTGAATATTCCGAAGAAAGTCCTTCAGGGTGAGTGAATCTCGGCCAGGGCTAGTATTTTGAACAGGGAGGATCGTGCTACCTGCACGCTTCGTTGGGAAGCCCGTTAAGGAAATGTCAGGGAGTCGTTGTACGCCTTCGTGATTTACTTGGCTATTCGAGCAAAGGATCTTCGCGACGTGGAAAATCGGAAGATCCTTTACTCTTTTCTGACGTTTAAAGTCGACTCTGACAGCCGATGATTATTTCGCGATTAGTGCAATTCCTCGATCTTAATTTTAAATTTATTTCGGAGAAAAATTGATGCGAAACCAAATTATATCTTTCGGGCGCTATCACGTAATCGTTCATTTTACTGATCATGGAAAAGATATTGGAATGAATACAGCTATTAATTTTTCGACGTAACATTGGCGAAATCGTCGAAACGTCGTTTAAGGGTGTCGAGTATTTTTGGTCCGGTTTTTGATTGGCCCGATTATCGATATACCGCAAAGACGTCATATCCACGCGTCGATCATAAACCAAAAAGGAAAACTAAGAGAATTCTTCGAGTACCGAAAGGATCGCAAATGTCGATTTCTTAGATTTCTAAGAGCACTTGACCCTTTTGTTTCCTTCTCATTCTCCTTAGACGTCTTCTTCTGCTGCTCTACGGTCTTCCCTTTTCTCTACTCTTTATTTATGGTTATCCTTCGCACGGCACTACTTATCTCTCTCGTTTCGAAGAAATTCGAAAAAAACCAGATGTCTTCGCGAATCTTCTCAAGTAACGTTCTTCGTTATATTTTTCAATCTCTCTTTTCTAGCAGTGTAGGAAAGACGATCGCGAGGCTTGCACCGCCTCCTTCGAAAGTTTCATTAATCTTCTTCTTTTCTTTTCACTTCTTTCCATAGTTTTGATTTGTGTCTTTAGCCAGTTTGAACAAGAGTAGTCCTGTCAAGAACAGTAAATCCCATCGTTTCTATATACGAACATTTTCTAACGTCTTATCTTGGAGCGTATTTAACGCGAATGTCAAGGGTGAACTATAGGAAAATATAATAGATAAAGTTTAAAAAATCCTCTTTTATAAGATTTCCGTTGGTTCCACTTTCGGTTCTTCATCCTCTGGTTTCATACATCTATGTATTTTCCATCAAAGATCTACCTTTCGTGAGGTATTGGTTATGAATTATTCACGATGAGCGATTCGAAGAAGGAAAAAGCGAGTAGCATTGCTCGCCGGATGCTATATATAATTCGAGAAACGTTCGGATCGAGAGAGAGAGGGAGAGGGAGAGAGAGAGAGAGAGAGACAAAACGGCTTTTTCGCTATGATTTACGCTAATTTCAGTGCCGATTTAGAGAGGCAGAGTAAGGATAGAAAAGAGAGGAAGTCGTAAGTACCCGAATGCATCCTTCCGGTCACCCTCGCGTGTTACCTTTTTATCGTCGACTCACGAACCCTAGGAGTTCGCCTCGTATTTCTTGTCTCCCCTCTTACAACCGCGAGTCACGACTTTCCTCCTTCCTTATAATCCTTTACGTATTTTCCTTTTGAAAGGCCGCGCTGAAACTTTTCAACGTCCTCTTACCTTCCGTCGTCTTCCTCGCGAAGAACGACGAAACTTTTTACGTTCGAAAAAGAAAAGGCGTATCTTTCTTATTTTCTTCCTCGGCAAAGTATCTTCCGTTTGATTCGCGAGAAGCACAAAACAAGAGATAGTACCAGGACGAACACCGGGGTATATTTATATTTCTGCACGGATGAGCATCAATAAACGATCAGATGTTCCGCGGAGATCGTCATCGGCAATTTTGAACGAAAAGATATAAGGAGGCAAAGTTTAAAGGTCGCCAAAGAGAACTCGGAAGAAGATTATAAAAAAGCCGAGAATTTCAATGGTCACGCTCGTTTCTCAACGCCGAAGGAATTGGAGACGTTCACCGTCGACCAATTTCGTCTCCTTTGTTCTTCTTCCTTTCTCTTCTTTTTTTCTTGTTTTTTTCCTTTTTCGGTTAATTGCCTTGCTCGTCGCGAGTTAACGACGATCGACAGGAGCTTTCCCCTTGTTCGTTCCCTTTCGATCTCGACGGACAGTCCTCGCCGAGCAATAAATAACCTGCGTAATGGGAATGGAAAAAAGACCAATACAAACGAGCTTTCTGGCCGTTTGCAGGCAACAAACTGCGCGATAACGAAGAAAAACTGGAAGGAATTCGAAATGGAGCGACTCGATGCGAGCAAACACATTCATCGAGCAAAAGTAACACGACGAAATACGTTCGTACGTTTGACGAACGAATGGTGCACAGGTGTGTGCGTGCGTGTGTGTGTGTGTGTGTGCATGTGCGTGCGTGCGGGTGTACGCGTAGACAGACGTTCGTGCAATTCCCAATGCCTTCATTTATCAATGTCCAACCGGAGGCCTTCCAGTCGAATGTCCTTTATCCTCGTTTCCGTTAGCATCGCCGAGCGACCTACAAAAGTATCACGATTCTTCTCACCGTATCTTCGTAGAGCAAAGTTCAGGTGCACGCGATCGAACGTCGGCTAATCTTCCAACGTTGATCCTCTTTTGACGCTTCGTCCCGAGACTTAGCAAAACTTCCGTGGGGAGGATCCTTCCATACCTTCGTCAGAAATGCTTTCGATCTTAAACGATCTTTCTTCCGATCGAATTCGCGATTTTCCTATCTAAGTATTGTATATTTTGAATTTTATCGTTCAATTTTGTCGTCAATAATTATGGCCTTATGATATTACGTTCAGACGTTAGACAGACGTTCATGAAAAATTGAAATCGCTGAAGAACGCCATTAAAATATTCATAAAATCTAAAGCTCGATCAAGGAACGTACACGTTCCTTTTAACGTTCGAATCTACTTTGGAAGAAAATTTCATCAATGAAGCCAAGGCTCGCTTTCTCCATCCAATTCCAATTAATCATTCAACGATGTAGTTTCTTTTTTATGACCGGCACTTTGTACGGAGTACATAGACTTGGCTATACTCGTGAGTCATCTCTCACGGCGTATTTTCCGAGTGTAGGATAATATAGCCACTTGAGAGGTCGAATGATAATGCGAACTTCCAAGGAAGACGCAGCATCTCTCGAGCTGCGTATTCACATACGTACGTATGCTATCGTTCTCGCAAAGTATGCTTAGGAGCAGCCATCAAGGCGTACGAGCTTGAGCAAAAGAATGGATTTATCCCGACTATTCCTCGCGAGCGATCGAACATGGGCCCCCTGGATGGAGATCGCCACTTTTGACGCGGCATCGTTTTCTCAAAATTTTAATACGCTTTTATAATTACGCCCTTCGTATGTTCGCTTTTTCTTCTCTATTTCTTTTTTCTTTTTTTTTCTTTTTTTTTTTATTTAGCCACTCCACAAAACTGCATTGAAACCTCATATGAAAGTACGCTATATAGAATATTATCTTTTCATCTATTTCGATATTTCGGGAAAAGAACGCCAAAGTTACGCTTATTATAACACCGAAAATATGGACCAAACCTTATTCTATTTCTCTCCACGTTATCTAAAAGTATCTACTTTTCTTTATCGCGTCTACTCTTACAAAAGTAAAGACTTCTTCCTCTTACGTATGTGTTTTATGGAGGAACGGTCTAACGGGCGAGGCATTTTCAAGACTCTCGTACGGATGCAAGAAATTCTGCGAAATTTTCAAGGAATAATACAAGAAACGTAGGCGAAGAGGACAGAAAGCGAGAATGAACGTGGATGAGAGAAAAAAGCGTATTCGTACGGATGATCAATGTTATAAAACGCTCGTCGTGCGGTCCTTTTGATGAGAGCGGAAAAAGGTAAAAGGAAAGAGAGAGATAGATAGAGAGAGAGAGAGAGAAAGTGTATATACAGCATCCGGTAGAGTTCCATCGACGCGACGCGTTCTCTCTAGTGTTGGTGAGAGCAAATCTGACGTCACTGGCCGCGTAAGCCTTCTCCCTCTCCCCGTCGGTGGCTCTTGGTTCGTCGGTGTGACGCCCTCAATGTGGGTTATGACGATGGCAGGGAATACGCGCTCGGTTAACCCCAGGGGTTGTGTACGTATTCGGATCGAGTTTGCGAGTAGCCGAGAGTCTTACCGTGCGATCGTCCATTCCGTTAAACTTTTTCTACGAACGCCGTGGAAGCTTAGCTTTTCGATCTTATATTCTCTCTCTCTCTCTCTCTCTCTCTCTCTCTCTCTCTCTGTCGTTTCTCTTCGCGGTAGGAACAACGACGACGACGTCGATGCAACCCCTGTCGGATGCTACGAATCTATCTGGTTTTAGAACAACGAGGGCTCGAGTTTGATGTTGCGCGTGGGTAGTACATAGAAACTTCATGAAATATGACATGACAATGAGCCGAAAGGTCGACTCGACTCGACTAGGATCGACGGAAGGATGGATGTACCGGGGCAACTATACGACGGTATATTTACACGAACCATCGAAAGAATATTACAATGACGAAAGCAAAAGTTATATAACGCTTTTATCGATCTGGCCTCTCGCGTATATCCGCATGGTGCTGGATGGTAAAGGGATGAAGGGCCAAGCGGAAGGGAAAGATTCGAGGGAAAACGTTTTTCGATGGAAGAGGAACACGTCGATTATGCGGATACAAGTACCACTTGCTCCCTCTTCCTCTTTCTCTCTCTCTCTCTGCTCATCTTTCTAAAAAAGGCGCGTCTATAGTATTGTAACGAGGAAAGTTGGAACGACGAACGAATAAAAACTCGTAGAACTTTAAGACAGATGGAAAGTAATCAAAAACACCGAAACGTCCGACGTATCTTTGTGTTAATTACGATTTTTTCAATATCGTGCTATTCGACCAGAGGAATTTCTCAATTTTGCTCCTTTTTCTTTACAAGAAAGAAAAATGTCAGAGAATAAATAATATAGAATCAAATACACGTTTGTTATTTCTTAGAAAGAGAGAAGTTCGATTTCGTTGACATTGCGTTTTCTTAACGAGGCAACCGATTATCGTAGTCTTTGTATAATCTCCCATCGCCTTTGTCTCGATATCTCGCAACTGAATCGGATTGGTGGAGAAGCTTACGCGAAAGAAAGTAATCTATCCGTTTTGCATAGGCAAATCTACTCCACCTCCTTTTTCACTCCTCTCACTAGCCCGAAATGATGAGAGAGAAAGCTCTCTCTCTCTCTCTCTGTCTCGTACTCTCGCGTAATCCCCCTTTCATTCGTGTTTCTTGTTTCAGGGCACGGCTTAAGAGGGAATCATGCTCGTGAAAGTACCGACGCTTTTCAAGCACAACCACTTCCGGTATTTAGCTAAGCGACGACAACGACAACGTCGACGACAAGGAGGAGTAGAAGAAAACCGTTCGTATTAGATGATTTAGGTATAGCGATGAAACTTTAGCTGAAACTATACCGTTTTGTTTCGTCGTATGATACTCTCGCTTTCTATTTTCTATTTCTTTCTTTTTCTTTTCTTTGTCTTTAAGTTAATTATGTTTTAGTAATTTTATCGGATATTTTGCCAGTACGTGCTCATTGTTTCTCATTGTCGTTATCGTCTTTGCGAAAGGTCTTCGTACGGTCGCGCACATTGCTCGCAGTAAATGAGCATGCGCGCCGGTTTATAATGGCGAAGACGTCAAACGATTTTCGCGATACGATGAGAAGAGAAGGTGGAGAAAGAGGAGGATGAAAGGCGGATGGAGGAACGAAGACGAGAGCGAGATACGGCTCATTAAACGTCGAGCTCTTCCCTCGGCAAACGGACCACCGGTACGAGAGCTACATGGTAGAAATTGTAGTGCAAATACGACTACATTTATCCTGCAGCCTCTTGAAAAGTGCATATATTATTCAACGGAGAATGCTGCGTCTTTCTCCTTCTCTTTTCCTATTTCTTTTTATTTCTCTTTCTCTCTCTCTCTCCTCTTCCCCACGACTCTTTCCTCTTCTTCGGAGAGACTCCTTTTGTATTTATCTTGGGTGGGTGGCTCGCAGACGCGGAAAATGCTCGCGGAAGGTAAGAGAGAGAGAGAGAGAGAGAGAGAGAGAGAGAGACAGAGAAAGAGAGCGAGGGATAAGGTCGACGAGTACCACGACTTTTGCTCGTATAATTGTTCGAGTAATTTCGCTTCTCCGACTATTGTTTGAGTTAGCTTATGAATACGAAATGGTATGATCTTCTAACAGCTCGATTGAAATAATTTCCAATGACTTGCCGATTACGTACTTTTCAAATTTTAATATCGACTACTTTGTTGAAAACTAATTAATTCATAGTCGTGCAAGTGCTCCTTTCTGCTGCGGCATTAATCACTCGATGAAAAGTATTATTCCATATACATATATGTATATATCTTTAATCTTTTACTTTTATCATTCGTAGCTAAAGACGTTAAGGTAAAAACTACATTTTCCTCATATAAAAAGAATATTCGTAACTCGTAATTGTAAATCGTACAACGGACTTTAGTATTTTACCGATGCAACGTTAGCTTTATTTCTTTCTACCATCATTATTATTTCCATGTGTATTATAAAAATATCGTATATAACGGACTACGAAGTATATGTACATAATTACAGTAGATATATATGTATGCATTATACTTTGGTTCTTCGTACGCTGGCCACGGCTAATTAGCTGCACGCAATAAAAGTCTACCGTGGTATCGGATGATCAGGAAAAAGAGCGTGCAGTGAAAAAGTTTGGCTTTCTCAAAGTCTTCTTTTTCTTTTTTTTTTGTCCAAAAACGAAAAAGAAGGGAAATGCAGAAATAATTAGCTGAAGGTAAAGAAGGAGAAGAAGGCTAAGAAGAAAAGAGTAAATCATAAAATAAAGTAGTGAATGGCTCGCCTTTAGGAAAGCACGAAGGATTAATCGAGATCAAAGATATCGCGAGCGACGACAGGAAAAAGACAACTAAGGCGTTGTTCTTCGTCGTCGTCGTCGTCGTCGTCGTCGTCGTCGTCGTCGTCGTCGTCGTCGTCGTCTTTATCAGGGTTCGCTGTCCTTTTCGTCGGTTGGTTTAGTCACAGGGGATCACGAGATGGTGTCGGTTCGTGCGATAGCTCGAGATAGAGGAGACAAACGACAAAGGTTGGGAGAACGACGAGGACGAGGACGTGAAAAAGGCGGAGAAAGGAGGAGGAAAAAGCTATAGTCTTTGTAGCACTTTGGCCTAAGCTCGCACACACATTGTCCTCATTACGACTCGCGGTCAGCTTATCGGAGAAACACGCGATACGCTTGGAGAATTCAAATGGCTCGCAATTATTCCTTGGCCTAGACCGTTGAGTCGTTAGACCTCATTGGTATTACTCGAAATATTTTTCTTTGCGATCGATAAATCGTAGTTTATATGTTAACGATTAGTTATATACCTTTTAGATACTTTTTCTCATTCCACCTCCGTTTCCACGATACCGAGAAAGTTTGTAAATCGAATTTTCAAGTTTCTCTTGGGTGCGTTTATTATTGTGTGATAATCGCATCCTGGAGTAGTGCAACGTGAAAAATGTCAAGGAAGTCTATTACGTGTTTCGTCTCGAACGACATCGAAGATTTAATGCATAGATAAGAAGAAAGATCTTCAATTCGCTCCTCGAATTATAACATCTCGTGAATCTTGGAATTTCTTTTCTCGAGGGTATACACTATGCGTTTTTTCTTATTTCGTATTATACAAAATAAGAAATTATTTTTCCTTTTAATCGTGTTAATTCATGGTTAATTTTTATAACTCGAGGACGAGTTATGCAGCATTAATCGAGCAAATCATTGTGACGTGCCTACAACATGCCTGGCGTAATTAACGCGACGGTCGATGCTTCCTTGGAATCGAGTTCTCGTTGTCCTTGTTATTATGTGGATCGGCTTATCTAAGAGACACGCGATGTTCCGGGAATATCTAGATAAAACTATTCCTTGGCCTAGACCGCGTACGTTCGCAAAGAGAAATACGTTCGGCTATTATCCTTCCTGGCTCATTTTTCCTTCGATCGTTTAGCGTAACATCGATCACGTACCTTACTTTTTAAATATCGAAAGATTTGTCCTTCTCATTTTCAGATTCTCAACGTAATAGTCGCAAGATATAGATTAAACCGATGGCAATTTGATGTCTTTCCGTGAAAATATTATAATCGGTTAATATTGCTAAAAAGCGTCGATTGTTATCGACGGATATTCGCAGCGGACTTTGGAACGAAAGACCGAGGCGAGATCCGTTCTCGACTATGCACAATAGCGAGACCTGCAGGGCGTTTTACCATTACGTAATGGACATGTCAGCCGAATGCAACGAGCCGTTTATTTTTACGACTTACACCACCGACTGCCTCTTGCAGGCCAAAGGCGCGCGTGACTCCTTTATTAAAGTTCCCTCGTCGTTCGCGGTAGTAAGTATCACGGTATTAAGTTTCTCGCTTCTGATCTTTCGTTAAAAAGGACGACGATTTACGATTGATTCAATGCTTCCGTATTTCTCCATTTTAGAAATTTTGAGATTTTTAATTTCTTAATTATCCCATGGTATACCTACGGTATCCATCGTTACCATTATTATTATTATTATCATTATTATTATTATTATTATTATTATTATTATTATTATTATTATTTTCTTTCTCATCTTGGAAGAAGATCGCGGAAACGATAATGGGAAGACCGAACGCAAATAACTTTATTTGTAATCGCGTTTCCTCTCCCCGATGATAGACGCCGCGTTGTTTTCGAAACAAACGAGACCAAGCGCTATACGACTCGAAAACATTAACGAAGTAATAAAGTCTAATGCAAATGTATCAGTAGGAAGGAAATGCTAACGATCACTGTGTAATTTTAATAATGTTAATTAAACTGCCCGATCATTCCGGGCAGCGTTAATTGCTCTCGTACATTAGCGTAATGTCCTTTGTTCGTTTGGAATTAACGAGCTCAATTGGAAGTACTCGATGGATATACAGATTCTCATGATTGGGGTAGATTCGCTTTCATGAAAATGTTCGTTCTCTCTTTTAGGAGGGAGGTGTATCCTCCCGGTTCCTCGAATTCGCGTGGTCGAGGAAAAAAGTATAAGGGAACGTCTTAAAATTGGAATTCGTCGAAATAACGTTGAGACGTTTTTCTATGCCGTGGAACGTTGGCAGGGACGATCAGACAACGCGCACGCGCACACGGTTATCGGAGATAACGACAAACGAGCTTTCTCCTAAGGTCGAGCACGCACGCGAGATCGCGATGATTTTGACGAGAACCGGTAAAGCGGCAGCAGTCGGCAGGCGATCGATAAACGATAAGCGGTAAATCGGGACTGCGCCTTTCCTGCGGCATGAAAATCGTTTCTTTCTATTTCACCTATAGGCTATGTCATATATACGCGATGCATAGGTAAATCGACGATATACTCGGGAATTAATTGGGAACCACCAGGGTTTAATCGAACACTTGGTATAACATTTCTATCAAGAGAAACTACTTGGAACTTTGAAATGTCGTTGGAAAGCTATTAAAAAAGTGGTATCATCGAGCGAATTTTAGACCTCGAACTCTTAGCCAGTACTTCTTGCTTTTTCAACGAGCACGAAACTCTTTTTCGCTTCTCCTACGAGAACGTACGAAAAGGATACAAAGGAGAAAAGGAAAAAGAGGAAGAAGAAGTGCTACTGTTGCTGGCGGAAAGAGGAAGAAAAATCCTCTATGTCGAACGTCGATGAAATTTTAAAGGAAGCGAAGTTTGTCGGGTCCCCGCGGTTGAAAAGGCAATCTTGCTCGAGAACTTTGGCCCCTGTTTCTCTCTCTTTCTTCCCTCCCTCTCTTTCTTCTGGGCACGATTAAATTCTCAAGTGCCAGCCACTTTTCCTCCTTCTCTACCGATAGGTAGAATCATGAAAGAAGAGTTGGAGGACCATGAGCTTCAACAAACAAGTTTTTATTAGTGTATTCGCGAGAAGGATCGTTAGAATACCTATCTACTGTTTGGGAAGTCGTTTGAAAAAAAGAAACGTGCGGAAAAGCGTTTGATGGCATCTTAGATAGTTAAAGAACGCTGAGAGGGAGAGGAAGGGTTGACAGTCATTTGCGAGCTGTAATTTCACCGCACGTAAGAACCTGACCGAGGGCGAGAGACGGAAAGGGAGAGATCGTGTCATAAAGTTGCGCTTTATCGCGTTCCACGCCAATGCGGACTCTCTCTCTCTCTCTCTCTCTCTCTCTCTCTCTCTGTCTCGACGCCAAACGGGGGCTTGCTTCGATCTGCCAATCATAGGAGTCCGATTCTAGGAAACACGATGCTCTCTTATACCTTGCCGTGCCATCATCACAGCCTTCTATTCCTGGTGAAATAAAATCGGCTACGAACGATCGAGTCTATTCCTACTC